AAATGATTTTGGATCAAGGTCATGACACACCTTTAGATCATGAGCAATCTTTGTATGAGGTATGAACTTGCAATGTTTCTTCATTAGGAAGTTGTCAGTCAGACACAACTTTTAATTTTTTTACTGCTGACCTTGAACTTGCCGGAATGACCTTGAATCAAAATCATGACACACCCTCAGGTCATAAACAATCCTTGTACCAAGTATGAACTTCTAACGTTTCTCACTAGCAAAGTTATGCCCTGGACAGGAAAAATGCACTTATTCTGCCAATGACCTTGAACTTGTAGGATTGACCATGGTATCATTTATGTAGTAAATGTGAAAACATTTGGTCTCAAGATCCTAATGCTGATGCATCAGGAATGAGAGTACCAAATCCCCGGATGTGCACATGGCTTTGTTTGTGGCAGAATGTAGATTCAAGGATTAAATAGGTAGGCGTTGTCTGATTGGCTGAATTCAGGAAAGTAATTAACTTAATTTTAAAGTAAAAATATTAATGTTTGAAATAAATGATGGAATGAGGAAATATTATAGAAAGTATAGAAAAGCCAGGGGAAGTTTTAGGAGTGGGGGTTGATTTTTGACATAGCATGTTATTTACTGCCGATCTCTATAAGTTGCGGAAAGGGGCAATTTTGACCTATAAACGCCATGGGACCCTATATTTTTTTCAGTATATTTTGTAAGTGCAAAGAACAAAGTTTGCAATAACACCCAGGATTTGTCTGAAATTACAATAGGTAAGTACTGAGAGGGCCTAAGATTTGTATTGAGTTCTATGGGAAATGAATTGGTACTCTTTTCCCTATAGAGAACCCCATTTTGAAATGTCATGTGACTTTAAAGACAGAAATTGCTACTTTAGCTATCCTAGTCAGAGAGATTTAGTAAACTAAGAATGATGCAAGCTATTTTTGAGACCCTGGGGGAGAAATTAGCCTCAAACAGTGAAAATGTGGGGGGTTGCAGGCTTTGGACAGGGGGGAGGGATAGAAGTGGGTATGGGAAGATGAGGGTTAATTGGCCGGAGGAGGGCAGTACAGTAGAGAGGGTGCATCGGGTAGCTCTTATGGTAGAGAAGAGACAGACTAGGTCGCAGTTTGCAGTTGCAGGCCTGGAGGTCAGTCATCTCTGCCATAAGAAGTTATGCATTGACCCGATGCACCTTACTCTGGAGCCGCACGCCACAAACCAGGAGAGGATCCACTGCAAGGACCAGGGGTTTTGTTGTGGGGCTCACCACCCTAGATGCATTTTTTAAAGTAATTTAAAATATGTATTTCTTGAATATTAACTTGTTAATTTCCTGTTTTCGAATAATTGTGTTCAGGGGGCTTTCTTTTATTACCTCGGGCTCGAGATTCAGCTAACATCATGTTTTTCTTATATTTTACTTCTTCCTGATGTTTTTCGTAAAGTTTATATAATTTCTTACGTTTAATTACCCTTTTTGTTTTATACGATTGACTTTTCTGATACGATTTATTTAATTCATGCTCATTTTGTATTTCATTCAGAGTCTGGTCCACTTGGCCACCAGTGGGGATGGGGGCACCAACCCCTGCACAGAGGCTTCGGAGCGAGCTGCCCGGACCGTGATTTGATGAGTGAGCTGCACTGTGCGCCCGACCATTAAAGTTTCTTGTGAAAGTAACATTTCGGGGCAGGGATCGCCGCAGAGTTCTGTTGAAGCTTTCGACCTTTTGCGAGTTGGTGTTTTTGATCGTCCTGTCCAGTACAGCTGGAGACAACCTCTTAGAGATGCAGGCATGGAGCCTTGCCTCATTTTCCGCGGAAGACGGTATTGTAAAACCTTGACCTAGATAAGAACTCTTGCTAACCCAGTTATTTTTTACTTTCCCTTTGCACACCAGAGAGTGTTTTCTGCATGATGCATGATCTCCCATGTAACATTTCACTATTGCATGTTTGGCATATGAGAGCTTGTTTTTTAATTTATCTGCATCTCCAGCATATACTGCATGAGCTTGGTTAATCTCAGCTGTACATCTGTCAACAGCATCTAGGGCAAAATTATGCAAAAGTTTGGTTTTTTCTGCTTTAGTTCTCTTTGGCATGACCTCTAAAAGTTTCTGATCTTTTTTAATTGCCTTTCTGATTGACTCGGACAAGTGTCGAGTGTCAATATAGTGAACTGGGATATTTTGCAGCAGACCGTCCTTATAGAGGGAATCTGCAGCTCGACCGGCAGAGCTGTCCGGGTCAGTGGTTACCTCCCTTACCTCGAGGCCATCTTTGCAGAGGAGTTCCGCCATCCCCTCCCGAGCCCAAGTGAACTCATCCCCAATGGTATGGTGCATTGGTAGATTTGCCCCACACACCCCAGGACTGCAGTGGTGGTTAGCAGTGCCCTCATCCAGTAAGTGTCCGTGCTTTGAACAAATTTTATTTTTAGTAACCATTTTAATTATCTGATGTTTTGATGTAACATTTTCAGCGAATGAGTACACAGTCTGTGTCGCCGGCTGGAAGGGTGTCTCACCCACCCCCGAGTACAGGGGGTTATTGTACATGCCATCGCACTGTACGGGGATGGCATGCGGGGAGTCACTTCCCCTTAGAGTGTTGACGTCCACCAGCTGGCGACACCGCTTACTCATGTCAGCCTCATTAAGGTTTTCAATAATTGGCATAATTTTGTTTGATGTCTTTTGTAGAGACTTTCGCGTAGGAGGGGGAGTTTTTGGTAGAAAGAAGGATTTTCCTCATCCCATCATTGCCTATAGGGGTTTGACTGAGGCCAACTTGAAGCCCATAGTTAACAGTGGCAGCTTTCCTACCCCGGGATTTGGTCTCTACCTCCTCATACAGATTGTACCGCCTTGATACATATAGACACTTAGTACATCGAAGGCCCATCCGGCTTCCCAGACCACGCCTCTCTTCGGATGCCAGATCCCAGTCAAGCGGTCCATCGCACCCCGGATTCCCTTGCTGGTGGAGAGAAATCACCTCATTCCACATCTCGGCTGTTTTCCCAAGGTGTAGCAGTCGATGGGAATTTTGATTGGCCAATCTAGGTAAATATACCATTTTTCATTTGTTTGAGACAGATGACAGTATACAGTGCATGAGAGCACATATTAGAGTTACTTCCCTTAGACTATCTAACAAGACATAGGAAATTTTAACATCATATAACTTTAATTCTTTGAAATGAATTCTTCTGATTTCTTTTCTTATGTACCTATATGACTTTCAACTGCATGTATTACATTTTACTTTGCATGTATTTATATGTATTTACATGTAATAGCATGTAATATGTATCCCACCCTAGTAATTAAAAAAAAAAGGTCAATTTTTCCCATATTTAGTCATGTAAAAGGTAGGCAAGACTTGATTTGTTAGAATTTTTATGAACTATTGCTCAATTATAAATGTTTTATACAAAATTTGACTTACTGTTCTGATTCATTTGTATTTAGGCATTTTGGAGGGCTTTCAACTTTTGGTCTCCTTGGCCTAAGGAGATGGTGGCACATGGGCCGCACGAGCATTTTCTGCCCTTCCGCAGCTATGGGAGTTTCCGAAACCATCTGATGCAATTGCTGGGACAGTCTGTTGTACCGTGCAGGTAAAATTTTCACATCATTAATTTTCATTCCCTTATTATGAGGCACATTTTGAGGTTTGAAACCATAGTTATGACCCTTTTTGAACTTTGGCATGGTTTTAATTCTCCTTGTTTAAACTTCAAATTCCCCCAAAAATGATAAATGGTCAGTGCTGTTTAAGGCTTCAGAGACTGAACTGTAATGTGTTATCAAAATTTGGGGTTTTCTCTAGCCTGTGTTAATTATAAACAAAGAAGATGGGGGGCACCTGCTATATCTCAAATTTCCATTAGAGAGGGGGGTGATGAAACTTTTCGCACATACTTAATCAGCAGGAAGGACCAGATAAGGATCATGTAGTATACTAGAAACATTAATGAATAACTCTTCATTATCATCAAAAAGTTTGCTAATTAGTCTATTTGAAATCTTGAAATTTTGCCTTATTTGCTAGATTTGCATTAAATTCTGCAGCTATTTTCAAATTCTGGGTGGAATCCACCCTTATGAAAAAATTGACTCATTTGTGATATTTTCTCATTTTATTTTCAATAAACAACAGAATCATGGCAAATTATCTATATTTTATTCATTACAGTCATCCATAAATCCAAATATGATCACAAGTCTGAAAGTCATTCACTCAGTCTAACACGGTTGGCCGCAGTAGGGTGTCATCAGTTCAGAAGGTCACAGTATCCAAGACGCTGAGGTTGCAGGACTCAAATTTCATACATGTACTCGGGTAAGTGTAAAGTCTTTAAAAATTACTAAATTGACTAATTCCAAGGTAGGTAACAATATGAGTATAGGAATGAGAGTACCAAATCCCCGGATGTGCACATGGCTTTGTTTGTGGCAGAATGTAGATTCAAGGATTAAATAGGTAGGCGTTGTCTGATTGGCTGAATTCAGGTAAGTAATTAACTTAATTTTAAAGTAAAAATATTAATGTTTGAAATAAATGATGGAATGAGGAAATATTATAGAAAGTATAGAAAAGCCAGGGGAAGTTTTAGGAGTGGGGGTTGATTTTTGACATAGCATGTTATTTACTGCCGATCTCTATAAGATTGCGGAAAGGGGCAATTTTGACCTATAAACGCCATGGGACCCTATATTTTTTTCAGTATATTTTGTAAGTGCAAAGAACAAAGTTTCCAATAACACCCAGGATTTGTCTGAAATTACAATAGGTAAGTACTGAGAGGGCCTAAGATTTGTATTGAGTTCTATGGGAAATGAATTGGTACTCTTTTCCCATCACGTAAAAGATTCACAGATGGTCACAGTGATTACTATATGTATTTAAATCATAGATGTGTATTTTTAAGGAGACACTCAAATCCTGTTTGGGTAACTTTTTCTTCATTTGGCGAGTCAATGGGTATCAATGTTGTAAACACAAATGCATAGTCAAAAGCATAATCATTATCATTTAAATCCAAGTATTTTTCAGATAATTATTCTTAAAACTCATGTGCACTTAGGAAAACCTAATACATATATTCATATTGACTCATATAAGAACATGATCTCGTTTTCTAAAATGTAAAAGAACACAAAACAGTGTTTGACCCTTGGCCTTTGACCTTGTGACCTCAAAATCAATAGGGGTCATCTTCTCCTTATGCAGGACCAGGGTACTAAGACAATTTCTTTTATGTCCAGAGTACTTTGACCTTGACCTTGTGACCTCAAAATCAATAGGGGCCATTTACCCCTTAGGGTGTACCAGTGTACCAAGTTTGATGTCTGTCAAGCAAAGGGTTCTCCAGACATAGACCAGACAATATCTACTCATGTCTAGAGTAGTTTAAACTTTAACCTTCTGAGCTCAAAACATAGAGGGGTTACCCACTGCTTAGGGGATACCAGAGTACCAAACTTGATATCTGTTAAAGCTATACATGGCATATCTGAGCTAAAAAAAATTTTTCATGAATTTGACGGCAGATATGTGTTATAAATGTTAAAATTTTAACTTTTCACACTCTTAATATGGATAGCCCAGTGTTTCTATAGTTACTTGGCTATAAACTTCACTGTATTTGTGTTGAATATCAATGGGATCCACTATTTTAAACATCACTGTGCATGAGCATGGGAAAATACAGCATATGAGCCACAATGGAAGAAGTGTTGGCCTAACAGAATCTGGTTTTTATCTCCGCATTTTGGTATCTATCGGTAAGTGGGAATTGTATCCTTGAAAATTATTAAGATGGAATAAAGATTTGCATTCTTTACTTTGTAATTAACTATTCGTTCCATTGTCGTTAATAGTTTAGACTCAAGTGCAATTTAATGTGGAGTTATTCAAATCTCTTTTTCTGTGGAGATCAAAAATACATATGTATTTGATTTATATTTATGATATCCTTGAATGCCTTTGCGTTTAATTCTGTAATTCACAAAATAATGTCAACCTTTTTACACAGATTTCAAAGATTTCTTATTCCCAATATTTGATGTGCTCCTCCTATGCTATAGTTATTAATCAGAACGAATAAAACATCATATATTTCTGAACTGGTCATGTTGGAGTAACAAATGCACAATCTGCAGCTTTGTTCATTGTATATTTAATGCCTGACAACAATGCTACTGCCTAATAAAACATCCAATTACTAAATTAAAGATTTGAAAAAAACTTGAATCTACACTACCTGAGGATGCTTTGCAATAATATGACTAATCAAAGCTTTGCTGTTCTTGAGAAGAATTTTTTTTTTTAGATTTCCTATAAATTCCTGTGTTTAACTTTGAACCCCTGTTGTGGCCCCACAGCCACCCTACCCCCAGGGGTCATGATCTGAACAATCTTGAATTTACACTACCTGAGAATGCTTCTGTATTAATATAACTAATTATGGCTTTGCTGTTCTCGAGAAGATGAATTTTAAAGAATTTTCCTATATATTTCAAAGTAAAAATTTGTTCCCTTATTGTGGCCCCACTCTACCCCCACGGGTCATGATTTGAACAATTTAGAATCTACACTACCTTAAGAAGCTTTCATATAACTTTCACTTTTTCTGACCAAGTGGTTCTTGAGAAAAAGATATTTTAATCACCCAACCCTATTTTTGCCTTTCCTTAATTATCTCCCCTTGGAAGAGGGCCTGACCTGTCATTTCAACAATTCAGAATCCCCTTAATTTAAGGATGCTTTGTGCCAACTTTGGTTAAAATTGGGCCAATGATTCTTGAGAAGAAGTCGAAAATGTGAAAATTTTACAGATGGACAGACAGACAAATGGACAGACAGATGGATGCCGGACAACAGGTGATCAGGAAAGCTTACTTGAGCTTTCAGCTCAGGTGAGCTAAAAATTAAAAACAGACTTAGTGCTACAAGAATTTTCACATAATGGGAGAATTGACTGTAGTAACTACGGACTTTAGGAACCTCGTACTGAAATTTCACCCCACTCTATGGTTAAACTTCAGTTTGAAAGAAAAGCCATTGAACATATGCACCCAAAATGTATAATCACTACTGAATAATACCACACTGTTATCCTTTATACAATATACCTGTTGATTAAAAATCTTAGACTCTGAAAGGTTTCATATCTATTGGAACACACTGGAGAATTAAAAACAATATAAAGAATAAATCGTTTAATATTTTCTCAACTACATTTAAGAAACATAATTATATGATATCCAAGTCAATTGGAAAACTGACCACACAATATTTTAATTCTACCTTTGTTAAACCAAAAAGAAGTACTAAATTTCTTCCTTCAAACTGCCTATTATTGATCCCTGAATAAAAGGTCATTAAGTTAAGAAGTACTCATGAGATCATGCTCCAGATGAACTACTGAAGCAACTATAACAAGACGTGTTTGTTGCGGCCGTTTCACAAAGTTTGAAAAGCTATTTTCATCATATAGGTCAGTTAAGGTCCCAAACCCATTGACATTGGTGTCATTTGAAAGAGCTTAATTAATGAAGTACGCATACCAAATATGAAGTCTCTGTCTCTCATGTATAATACCTGAGGGGGCTTCCATATATATGCTTCCATATGTGACTTTCTGTTCCCAAGACGAAAATTTTTAATAGTATTTTTCCCATGCATCCAGTGTAAAACTTTGATCGCAAATTGTGGC